AAAATAACTTTAGGCTTTGGTCAGAGCAAAGTTCGGACGGTTTTTATTTTATTTTTTGGCTCTACAGAAAGATGAAGCCGACGGTGGATTGAGGTCTTTATTTCCACGGGACGTGTTTCCTGCTCACGACGCACATCAAACTGGACTGGCATTTTTAGAAAATAAACTGTGGGMTACACCATTTATCATCGTTCCATTTCTTATCGTTCTACTACACCTAACGAAACAATTTAAAAACTGGGTTAAAGTTTGAAGTCTCTACTTTTAACTTAAATTGAAACATAGTCTCAGAGAAGGCACACCTTTAAATGTTTAAATGGACCAAGTGATGCGRGGGCAGAAGATACCAGTGAATTGACTGGAACATTTTTTAATCTAATAAATCATTATTCGATGCATCCCTAGTTAATATTGTTAAATTACAACAACTAAGGAAACATAAACAGCCAGTTATAATAGATAGGCTGCACACTCTCGCACAGCGGCAGACAGCTAACTTTTTGCACAACACCTGACTCAATTTCTCTCAGTAAACATGCACCTGTTGGTCGGATGTTGTTTCCCGGGTCACTGTGATTAAAGCCATGCCTGCCTCTCTTCCCCGGCTCCACCTGTCTGCTACTGTTCAGCTAACGTTAGCATCCATCTGCGAGGCTCGTCTCTCTCAGGGAAAGAAATCAATAAATATCTTTCCGCTGGTTTTTCTTCTGACAGCTGGTTTTTAAAAGTCCACCAGCTTCAATTATCATTTCCAGTTCTTTTTCAAACTTGTTCTGACAAAGAATTTTATTTTGAGCACCGCTCCAACATCTGCTGGATCAAAGTTTGTTGATGTCCAAGTCCCGCCTCCATCTGATTTCTGATTGGTTAGTAGGCCTGTCTAGTGTGTTTAAAGAGAAATCTGTTCCTCTGATAGGCCCAGAGAAATGTCTGTTAAGTTTGGCCGGACAGGTTTGATTTTATTTTATTTTATTTTTTTCCCCTGGAGGAAAGCCGGAAATCCAACACGGTGCCAGATTACTATCAGCCCTGCATTTATGTCAATAACCGACGTCATTTTGCCCGTGTCGGTATTTTTAGTATTTAAAAAAATTTAAAAAGAGAAAGCTGCTCGTTTTCTGTTGCGGTCTCAAGCCGCCCAGTCTGATACAGACGTTGCGTTCAACAAATCAAACGAACCTCACAGCTTAGTTTATCCAATCAGAGCAGAGCGGGGCGGGTCTTTCTGATGTTGGTGAAGCAGTCAGCAGGATAAACACCGGTCAGCCTGCAGCTCTTGTCCTGAGCGAGCAAACCCTGTCCTCTCTCCACACTTCGTTCCTGAGCTACCTGAGACACGTTGGTATCTAAAATCTAACACACTATAAGTTTATGTGTTCAGAGCTTCGCTATCGAACAGATATGTCCAACTTTGCTCACATGACCAAACTCCTCACCTTGACAGCGCTGTTACAGGAACGCGCTGTGGTGCACACAGACTTGAGTTGTTCTGAGAGCTGCTGTTTCAGCTCTTCTAAAGAAACAATATTAACTCTAACTGATGAACATTTGTTTGTCCCATATTTTTAGAAAAGATGAGTCTCCGCTTAGTGTTACCCTCCCCCTCACAAAAACAAAACAAAACAACCCCCCCGCTATGTAGTTTAGCATAAACATCTACAAATTTCCTTCTTCACAATATATCTTGCATTTATTTAGAACCATACTGTAACTGAACTGCTCTGTGATTCAATAAATGATCAAATATGAAGAATAAATTGTATTAAATAATAACATGAGCTCTTTAAATAATATAACCTTTTTCAAAGAAATAGTAATTTTTTTATTTACTATACTTGGTACATGTACATTGTTATATATCATGAATATAGTGTTTTTTGTTTTTCTTTTACTTATCTTTCTTTATTCTCTCACCCTGTCCTGTTTTGAGC